TCTTCAACTCGCCAGTGCGCATACGTAAATTAGAAGAGGAAAAGTACGGGAGTATGTCGGTTCAATTACTCTAGTGGGATCGTGAGCTTTTGGTCAAGGTCGATGTCTTTTTAATACTAGAGATCAACTCAAATCGACTGATTATTAGACAAGGACTACTTATAGATACTCCCTTATCATATTATTTCTAAAGATTAACCATTTCGAACGATTTCGAGCTTTGATATCGAAAACTGAGAACCCTACGCAGATAACTTAATGAGTCAAATAACGAAAGATAAAGATATGATTTGTTTTCCTAATATTTAAGACTCCGATATGTAATTCAGTGTAATTCGTAATTCAGTTTCATCCGTAAAAGGTTGAGATTTGTATTATTCCTTTCATAGTATTTCCATTAACGAGCAATTTCCTCGAGTTATTTTCTCATTAAATCACAAGATTATCTCATATTCGCTCATTATAAATAACAATTCGAAAATAAGCAAGATCTACGATCACCTTCGTGAAATTTTAGGAATCACTACTTTCGTCTTATTCGAGATTACCATCTACCCGATTAAATTTACCGCGTGCCGTGCACGCCGCTGTATCTAAATCCGTTAAATCTCTGAAAGATTCAGCGAAGATCAAAGATCCCCGGGGTTGTCAGTCGCAGGATCACAGCGGCTGGGACAAGCGCCAAGAAAAATATCGGCCTGTCAATTTTCGCTCGAGTTTCTCTTGCTCATTTTCAACGCGGGCAACAAGCGAGCGAGCGAGCGAGCGCCGTAATTACCGGCCAAGCTAATTGTCCCCGGCTGTTTCTTGCGATAACTTCATCAACGTCGATTCCGATCGAGCCCAATTACGATCCCATGGACGTGGCATGGGTCGTGTGCCACCTTCGCGATTGCTTCGCGTGTATCCTTCCTTCTCTTTCGCGCTCGAACGCTGTTGGACAGAGGCTGGAAGATAAAAAAAATTACCGGTCCGCCGCTAAACGCGGACGCCGACGGCCATCGGGCCGGCTTAGTAAAAATGGCGGGCCACGATATATTCTTAACTGCGCGGCGCGGTGGGTTACGTGGTTTCGAAGGCGAGTATTAAAATAACCGACAGATTGTCCGGGCTATAAATCTGACGGCGCGGTATCGCGGCACGGCCGCGCGCGCCGTTTAGTCGGATACCGGTTATTCGAATTTTCAATAACATTTGTTGTTCGATTTCCGATCGCTCGAGCGGCCTCGGTGCCGAGCGTTGTATGAATTAAGTTAAGCGAAATTGCCTGCAAAATTGAGTACAATCAATTTGAGCCTGTTATTATGGATAATCATACGTATGAGTGTGCGAGGTGTTAATTTTCAAGCTGAGAAGTGAAGGAAGATTTTTGTATTGAGATTATCGATTGAAGGAATGAGTCAATTATATATTTAATACTTTCGAGAATCAAAATGTATCCATGTATTAATCTTTTTCAGTAAGTATGATTATATTACGGATACATTGACCGTAATATATTACTTTTACGAACTGTATTTACGTTTATGTTTCGAAGATTGTTTATTATGTGATCGATATAGATCATTCTTTAAAAAAAACAAAATGTTATAAACCGTTTGAGAAATGTATTGCTCGCCAAGACCAAGATTACACCAATTAATCGAGTCATGTGTGAATAATTAATACCATATTTTCGATGTACATAAGATTCTTAAGAAGTAAATGATAAAACGAGCATTACAAAGCCATAATTAGATATCAATCAAACCAATTAGCATATAAACTCCCGTTACCCCAAAGAAACAAAAACAATAAAAACCAAATAACAGAACAAGAAAGATCAAACGAAAAGCCGGTAAATCATACGTGACTTACACGGTCCCACGTGCGCAGCGTAACCAATTAATACTACGCGGATCCGCGTCCTTCTCCGGTGCACCGGAAAAGCTAAAACCGATCGCTCGAAAAACACGAAATATCGTCCGACAGTGGAACAGCAGCGCGAACGGAGAGATTAAAAACGAAAATAGAAGAGAAGGGAAAAAGAACCGACCGAAGCTGGCCAATGCCACGGGTAAATCGAATTCAACAAATCCAGCGATCAATTAAATCGCGGGGTATAATACAACGCGCGGGACACGGTCCGTCGGAACAGAAAACAAAATCAAAACGACCCGGACAAAAGGGAGCGCGCCGCGTGTG